TGCGAACTGATATATACGTTCCTCGCTCGAGTGAACAACACGAAGCTTCAGGTCTGCAACCCAGAAGCACGCTCGAGCGAAGAAACGCTCGCTCGAGTGAAGAAGCCCAAAACATACAGCTCGCTCGCTCGAGCGAAGAACAGCTCGCTCGAGCCAAGGCTACGTCTGAACAAAACCTAAAGACACAAAAAGCTCGCTTGAGCGTACAAACCCTCGCTCGAGCGAATAAGCAACAACACAAGGCTTGCTCGAGCGACAAAGTCATGGCTTGAGCGAAGAGGCTAAAAACTGGACAGCAACCATATGCTTCCAATCACAACCAACCTGAAACGAACCTGCCCAAAACATCCTATAACTCAAATACAAAGTATTGAAGGACGGAAACAATCTAAATACAACAACCCACATCTACGGAACCAAGTCCGGAATACAATACTCAATGGAGGGAAAACCGGGATCACTATATGTTTTGTTAAAAAAATTTAGGAATAAACTTACATGAATTTTATGTTAATTATGCTAATTTTTGTGACACAACTTACGTGACTTTGTGAAAACTTAAGCAAATTTGTGAATTAAAAGTGTTCTCCAAGGACTTACTCGTATTTGTAATCACTTATGCATTTTTTGGGAAGTCACTTACGTCAGTTGTGAAAACTCATACATATTTGTATTGTTGAAAATTTTAGGAACAAACTTACGCATCATTTTGTACTAACTATTCTAAGTTTTGTGACACAACTTACGTGATTTTGTGAAAACTTACGCAAATTTATAAAATAAAAATGTTCTCCAAGGACTTACTCATATTTGTGATCACTTACGCATTGTTTGAAATCATTTACGTCATTTGTTAAAACTTATGCCTTTTTGTGTTGTTGAAAATTTGTAGAAACAAACTTATGCATCATTTTGTATTAACTCTCCTGAGTTTTGTGACACACAACTTACGTGACTTTGTGAAAACTTACGCAAATTTGTGAACTAAAAGTATTCTCCAAAGACTTACTCGTATTAGTGATCACTTATACATTTTTGTGAAATCACTTGAGTCAATTATGAAAACTTATGCATTTTTGTTTTGTTGAAATTTTTTGGAAGTAAACTAAAGCGAATTTTGTGTTAATTACCCTGAGTTTTGTGACACAACTTATGCAACTTTGTGAAAATTTACACAAATTTGTGAAATAAAATTATTCTCCAAAGACTTACTCATATTCGTGATCACTTGCGTATTTTTTGAGAAATCACTTACGTCAGTTACGCATTTTTATGTCGTTAAAAATTTTTTAGGAACAAACTTACGCATCATTTTGTGTTAACCATCCTGAGTTTTGTGACACGACTTACGTGATTTTGTGAAAACTTACGCAAATTTGTGAAATAAAAGTGTTCTCCAAGAACTTACTCGTATTTGTGATCACTTATGTATTTTTTTAGGAAATCACTTATGTCAGTTGTGAAAACTTATGCATTTTTGTGTTGTTGAAAATTTGTACGAATAAACTTATGTGAATTTTGTGTTAACTACCATGAGCTTGGTAACACAACTTACGTGATTTTGTGAAAATTTTCGCAAATTTGTGAAATAAAAGTGTTCTCTAAGAACTTCCTCGTATTTGTGATCACTTGCGCTTATTTTGGGAAATCACTTACGTCAGTTGTGAAAACTTACATATTTTTGTGTTGTTGAAAATTTTTAAGAACAAACTTACGCATCATTTTGTATTAACTATCCTGAGTTTTGTGACACGACTTCCGTGATTTTGTGAAAACTTACAAAAATTTGTGAAATAAAAGTGTTCTCCAAGGACTTGCTCGAATTTGAAATCATTTACACATTTTTTTAAAATCACTTACGTCAGTTACGAAAACTTACTTATTTTTGTGTTGTTGAAAATTTGTAGGAACAAACTTATGCTTCATTTTATGTTAACTACCTTGAGTTTTGTAATACAACTTATGTGACTTTGTGATTTTATGAAATAAAAGTGTTCTCCAAGGATTTACTCGTATTTGTGATTGCTTGCACATTTTTTTGGGAAATCACTTACATTAGTTGTGAAAACTTAAGCAATTTTGTGAAATAAAAGTGTTCTCCAAGGACTTACTAGTATTTTTTATCAGTTACGCATTTTTTGGGAAATCACTTATGTCAGTTGTGAAAATTTATGCATTTTTGTGTTATTAAAAATTTTTAGGAACGAACTTGCTCAAATTTTGTGTTTACTTACACATTTTTGTGAAATAAAAGTTTTCTCCAACAACTTACTCGTATTTGTGTTCACTTACGCATTCATGTGAGATCAATTAAGTGATTTTTGAAAACTTACACATTTTCTATTGTTCCAAATTTTTGGGAATAAGCTTATGTGAATTTTGTGTTAATTTATGTATTTTTGTAAAATCACTTACGTGAGTTATGAAAACTTACTCATTTTTGTGAAATCAAAGTTTTCTCCAACGACTTACTCGCATTTGTGTTCACTTAAGCATTTTTATGAAATCACTTATGTGATTTGTGAAAACTTACGCATTTGTTTTGTTCTAAATTTTGGGGAACAAACGCAAATTTTGTGTTAACTTACGCATTTTTGTAAAATCACTTATGCGAGTTATGAAAACTTACACATTTTGTGAAATCCATGTTTTCTCCAAGGACTTACTCGTATTTGTATTCACTTACGTGACTCGTGAAAACATACCATTTTTGTGTTATTCTAAATTTTTGGGAACAAACTTACTTATTTTTGTAAAAACTTACATATTTTTGTGAAATCATTTGTGTGAGTTGTGAAAACTTACGCATTTTGTGAAATTCAAGTTTCTCCAAGGACTTACTCATATTTTTGTTTACTTATGCATTTTTGTGAAATCATTTACGTGATTTGTGAAAACTTAGGTATTTTGTATTGTCAAAAAATTTTGGGAACTTGCACATTCTTGTGAAAGTTTACGCATTTTTATAAAATCACTTACGTGAGTTATGAAAACTTACATATTTTTGTGAAATTTAAGTTTTCTCCAATGACTTACTCGTATTTGTATGCATTTACGCATTTTTGTGTTGTTCTAAATTTTTAGGCACAAACTTATGCATTTTTGTGAAATCACTTACATGAGTTATGAAAACTTACTTATATTTGTGAAATCTAAGTTTTTTCCAGGGACTTACTTGTATTTGTCTTCGCTTGGGCATTTTTGTGTTGTTTTAAATTTTTGGTAATAAACTTACATATTTTTGTAAAAACTTATGCATTTTTGTGCTATCACTTATGTGATTTTTGAAAACTAATGCATTTCGTATTCTAAATTTTTTGAAATACACTTACGCATTTTTGTGAAATCACTTATGCGATTTGTGAAAACTTATGCATTTTTGTGTTGTTTTAAATTTTAGGGAACATACTTACGCATTATTGTGAAAATTTACACATATTGTTGAAATCACTTACGTAAGTTTTGAAAACTTGCGTATTTTTGTGAAATCTAAGTTTTCTTCGCATTTGTGTTCACTTACACTTTTTTGTGAAAACACTTATATGATTTGTGAAAATTTATACATTTTTGCGTTGTTCTAAATTTTTGGGAACATACTTACGCATTTTTGTGAAAACATACACATTTTTATGTTGTTTTAAATTTTTGAAAACACACTTACATATTTTTGTGAAATCAGTTACGTGAGTTATGAAAACTTACGCATTTTTGTGTTATTCTAAATTTTTTGGAACACACTTGCACATTTTTGTGAAATCACTTACATGAGTTGTGAAAACTTACGCATTTTTGTGAAATCTAAGTTTTCTCCAAGGACTTACTTGTGTTTGTATTCACTTGCGCATTTTTGTGAAATCACTTTTGTGATTTGTGAAAACTTACACATATTTGTATTGTTTTAAATTTTTGGGAACACATTTATGTTTTCTTTGTGAAAACTTATGCATTTACGTGAGTTGTAAAAACTTATGCATTTTTATGAAATCAAAGTTTTTTCCCGGGACTTCATCATATTTGTGTTGACTTACTCATTTTTGTGAAATCAGTTACATGATTTGTGAAAACTTACGTATTTTTATGTTCTAAATTTTTGGAAACACATTTACGCATTTTTATAAAAATTTACGTATTTTTTATGAAATCACTTACGTGAGTTATGAAAACTTACACATTTTTGTGTTGTTATAAATTTTTAAAAACACACTAATGCATTTTTGTGATATCACTTATGTAATTTGTAAGAACTTACGCATTTTTGTGTTATTCTAAATTTTTGGAAATACAGTTACGCATTTTTGTAAAATTACTTATGTAAGTTGTGAAAACTTGCACATTTTTGTGAAATCCAAGTTTTCTCCCAGGACTTACTCGTATTTGTATTCACTTACACATTTTTGTGTTGTTCTAAATTTTTAGAAACAAACTTACGCATTTTTATGAAAATATTTACACATATATAATATAATCTATTATTTTAATAGTATTTACCTGTAAGTTGACTTGCTTAGAAGGTCAGTAATGTTTAACTTATAACACAAACTTGTATAACTGCTAACACAAATTTATATAACCTACGCAAAGAAAATGTATAAGGAACCATGTATGCCTTGCTTATGGTATGCAAAGCATATCTAAGAATCCTTCTAATGGGGTAATAATAATAATAATTACAAATTTACCATCCATCAATTTTCAAGGGTAATCAAAAGAATAATTATGAGAACCCAAACTTATAGTCCCCAAATTTATTGAATGTTGATGTGTGATTGAGAATGAATTTGTGTAATGTAAGATCCATGTATAGAATGGCTTTGAACAACTAGATGATAATTCTAGATAATTTCTGAATAGTTAAATTTGAATTTATGGTATTATTGTATTCAAAATGATGCATCTAACAATAATATGCATATAATGTCTTAGAAAATTAAGCCTAACCATCCATCCATGTTCTCAAGAGCATTCATAATTATGTATCTAACAATAATAAAAGTGAAAGACTTGCATATAATGTCTTAAGCCTGCCCACACAAGGAAAGGTGATATTGACTCTCCTCACGAATTGGACTCAACCTCAAACCACCACACTTGAGAGCCTCGTGCAATTTTTCCATGACCACAAGGCCACAACATTTCACTAGGGCCCCATTAAAACAATTTTCTGGTAAGAATTCTTTGAAAACAACAGAGTACTCCAAGCTTTTTGCATCACACTCAGTGCAACTACTTTTCAAACCTAGAGAAAGGGAAGAATAAAAGAAACAAAAATGAGAAAATTAAGTTAGTTGTATAAATTTCTACATATAGATTGTATATTTAATATATAATAACTTGGTGTAATATAAACACACAAGGGTCAAAAAACAGAGGTAGTATTTTTATGTAATGGGTATACCATTATGGTGTATTCTTCTAAATCACAAGCATGTGAAACCCGTCTCCATACGTTTGTGTGTGAGAGGTATACACTACTGTGATGTACCCGTTATGTAAGATACTTTCACCAAAGAACAAAAGAAGGTGTTGCTTCTCACAGTCCACAAGCTCAGGATCAAATGCATTATCGTCGAAGAACAGAGAACTGCCGTACTCCAGTTCCACCTTCGAGGAAAAAAAAAATTAAAACATTAATTGCTAAATGTCACTAAGCAAATATGCTTTACAGGTCTTTCAGGTAAATATATATATATATATATATCACGTAACTAACCGAAACTTAAATGCTAGAGTGCATAAAAGCTCAAATAAGATTGTAAATACGAAAAGCCTAACTACATACGGTAACCAATAATAAATAAAGACAAACCCTGAAATTTAGTATTATAGATGGCAATTAAACAGTAGCTGTTGAATTATGGCCCTCACCCTCTTAATAGGATCGTCCTCTTGCTTTCCAAAGAAGATTGCCAAAACCAAGTGCTCAAGTCCAACCTCCTTATCACCTGCAAAATTTGCTCAAGTTTAAAATAACACACGAATGTGTGCATAAACCTACTTCTTCCTGCCACCAGACTTGATAAAGTTTCTCCAACCCAATTCAAACATAATTATGACTTAACTACGTTTGTAACTGATCATGTTATTATTTCATTTTATGCCCCGAAAATTTATAGAACATATAATTATACAACCATTTAGAATAAAGTAGAGGATATTCTACAAGATTCATAACATTCACATATTTTAAAAGATACAAAATATTCAATGGAATATTGAGGTCATTACAAAGATAAGAGATTTTACCAAGTCTGTCGGCTGCTATGCGCGATAACTTGTAAATGCTAAACATAGACAGTTTTGAATGTAATCCACCCGAACATCTTGGCCTGTCATTGAGCATCCTCACATTGTCACCAACTCTTGAAAAAGAGAGGCCAAACAAAATGTGTAGTATGTTGATGAAACATTGACATTACATTCTTCTCTCATTATCAGCAATGTTAATCACTCCACGAAGCTCGTTTGTACAAGGTCCGAAGCTCCCACGTGATATAGGAAATATGATAGCTTCCTGAAAATAGATCAATTGTAAAAAGGAAAACAAAAGCATTGGCATGTTGTCAGCATTCAAAGGAGTTATCAGGGCCTTGATCGAACCCTATGAAGCATGGCACATCGAAAAACAAGTCATACTAGTATGTTTTGGGCACTAGTACTTCTATCTTTTTATTTTTTATTTTTAACAATAACAAAACAATTTTATTAAAATAAAAAGTGAAAACAAGGAGAGGACAAGAAGTCCTCATACAAAGACAATAACTCAGCGCTAGAATCCAAAGAAGTGCCAACTAAAACATAAAACAAATCACCACTAGGTATAACAAACAGTATACCAATCCCAGTAATCAAAAAAAGAGATATGTCCTTGAAAGGAGGAGACACACTGGCCCAAACTAATGCAAAATGCCTCACCCTATCCCACAAAGCATTAACCTCTAATTCCTTTTCAAAAAAAATTCTATCATTTCTTTCCAACCAAATGTTCCAAAAGATAGCCAAGATAATGCACAACAATGTTTTGGTCTTCTATCACTAGTGTACTTCTATGTGTACCAAGTAGACAACACGTACTCAAATTTTTTTTCTTAATTTTTGTCATACTCAAAAGTACCTAGCATATACCCAAGTTATACCTCAACTAGAATAGGGTTGCGAACGAACAGAGATGGACCGAGCTTTGCTGGGCTCAAGTTTGGTTTGTTTGTTTATCGAGTTTGATTATCCAGCTCGAGCTCGGCTCGGCTTGTTAATATTAGTTGGGGTAAATTATACTTTGCATCAAATCTCAATTTGCACCAAATCTCACTTTGGCCCCTACACATGAAATCATGATAATCAACCTCCTGAACTTCTGGTCAAATCCCATTTTGGTACTTGCACATGAAATTTTGATAGTTAATCCCCTTTAGTTTTGGTCAAATCTCACTTTCGTGCCTATAAAGTGTCAATGCCTCCTTTCTGTTACTCAATTGTTTAAATATTTAATATAATATAGTCATGTGATAAGAATGTGTCTACAACATGAGGGTAACAAAGGAAAATCATCTATAGTTTCCACCAATACATACCTTATCCCAAAATTTACATCATCTTTGAAAGGAAAGAAATGGAGGCAATCCCTTATTCTTCCGCAGTAGGAAGTTTGATGTATGCAATGGTATGTACCCAGCCAGATATAGCTCATGTAGTTGGCGTTGTAAGTAGATTCTTCGCCAATCTAGGAAAAGAGCATTGGGAGGGAGTCAAATGGATTCTTCAGAACTTGAAGAGAACTTCAAAGATGTGTCTATGTTTTAAAGGAGCTAAACCAATTTTGGAGGGTTTTACAGATGCTGATATAGCGGGTGATCTTGATGGTAGAAAGTCTACATCAGGATTTTTATTCATCTTTGCAGGGAGAGCTGTTTTATGGCAGTCCAAAATACAAAAGTGTGTTTCTTTATCTACAACAAAGACAGAGTGCATTGCTGCCGCAGATGCTGGAAAAGAAATGTTGTGGTTAAAGGGGTTTCTCCAAGAATTGGGTCTATAGTAGGAAGAGTACAAGGTACATTGTGTCAAGCTCAAGCTTGTTTATTAACTTAACGAATTGAGCTGAGCCATGCCCTTAACGAGTCGAGTCGAGCTGAGCCAAGCTCGCAAACAGCTTAGTTCGTTTGTAGCCCTAACTAGAATAGTATTTACTTTTGGGTTGATTACATTTTTAGTCCTCAAAGCATGAGCCTTGTGTCATTTTGATCCGCAATGTTTAATTAGTGCCAATATGGTCTCCAATGTATAAAATGTAAGGCAAATTACATTACGAGCCTCTATATTTTACCCCTTGTATCATTTTGGTCCCTACACTTTCAAATCACTCAATTTTGACCCTTAATTTTAGATTATGTGTCAATTTAGTCCTATTGATAATTCCGTTAGTGTTTTTGACGAAAAATTGATCACTGAATTGGTTGAGGTAAACTTATTGACTTGAGCAAACTTATAATTTTGACCCTAAAATCATGATACATTCCACTTATGTGTGTATTTTCCACTAAAAAATGCTAACAGTTGCATTCAATTGACTAAGTTGAGACAGTTATAAATTCAAGGTTAAAATCGAGTCAATTGGAATTATAAGGACCAAAATGCAAGGACTATTGGTGTAATTTGACCTAAAAAGTATTTCAATTTAGTTTCCAAATGTTAAATTACATCTATTAATAGAGTTATATTGGGAGACTAAATTGAGACACTTTTTACACATTATAAACCAGATTGATACAACTTCAACATTGGGACCAAATTGAAACACTTTATACATAGGGACTAAATTGACACAATTTAAACATTGGGGACCAAAATGACTCCTGCTTTGGGGACTAGAAATGTAATTAACCCTTTACTTTTAAATGAAGTTAGTTTTATTGGATTTTTTTTCTTAATTTTTGCCTCAAACAGAGGACCTAGTATATATCCAAGTCATACTTCAACTAGAGCAGTATTTACTTTTGGGTTGATTACATTTTTAGTCCCCAAAGGATAAGCCTTATGTCATTTTGGTCCCCATTGTTTAAATTGTGTTAATTTAGTTTCCAATGTATAAAATTGTTTCAATTTGCTCCCAATGTTCAAGTCGTATCAATCTGGTCCATAATGTATAAAAAGTGTTTCAATTTATTCTCCCAATCTAACTCTGTTAGTAGATGCAATTTAAACATTTGGGGACTAAATTGAAACATTCTTTATACATTGGGGACTAGATTGACTCAAATTAAACATTGAGGACGGACATTGAAATATATTTATACATTGGGGACCAGATTGACATTATTTAAGCATTGCGGATCAAAAAATATATTTATACTTTTTTTGTGATGGCACAATTTGCTGTCACAAAAAATAGAGTATTTGCGACGGCAGAAAATCCTGTTGCGAAAAAGGAGAGTATTTGCGACGGCAAAAATTATTGTCGCAAAAAAAAAAAGAGTATTTGCAACGGCAAAGATTGTTGTCGCAAAAAAAAAAAGAAGAGTTTTTGCGACGGCACTAGCTGCAGTCACAAAAAAAAATGAGTTTTTTGCGATTGTAATAGGTACCATTGCCAAAAAAAAAAAGAAGTAAATATATATATATGTTTTGTGGCTTTGAGACGGCTTCATATATATATATAGTCACAAAATGGTCTAAATAAATGCAACGGTATTTTTCTGTCACAATTTTTTTTTAAAAAAAAACGACGTCCTCTTATTCTTTTGATATAACATTTCTCTTTTCACCCATTTTTTCATCTTCCTGTCTCTCTTCTCTTTCTCTCTCTCACTCATTACTTTTCTCTGTCTGTTTGTCTCTCTCTTTTTCTCTGTGTCTCTGTCTTTCTTCTCTTTCTCTCTCACTCATCACTCTTCTCTGTCTGTTTGTCTCTCTCTTTCTCTCTATGTCTCTGTCTCTCTTCTCTTTCTCTCTCTCACTCATCACTCATCTCTGTCTGTCTATCTGTCTCTCTCTCTTTCTCTCTGTGTCTCTCGTCCATCTCTCTCATCTCTCTTCTCTCTTTGTCTCTCTTTTCTCTCTCTCTTGTTTATCTTTTTTTGCTCTCTTTGTCTCTCTCTCTCTCTCCCTGTCTCACTCGCTTATCTCTCTTCTCTCTGTATCTCTCTCTTTTTCTATGTCTCTCTCTCATTCATCTCTTTTTGCTCTCTTTCTCTCTCTTTGTCTATCTCTCGCTCATCTTTTGTTTCTTTCTCTTTTTTTTTGTCTCTATCTCTTTCTCTCTCACTCATTACTATTCTCTCTCTCTCTCTGCCTGTCTGTTTTTCTGCCACTCTCTTTCTCTCTCCCACTTTGTTCACCTTGCTCACTTTTTCCCTTCTCTCTTCTCTATTTATCAAGCTCCCTTTTGATTTATCGATCCACTACAAGAAAATGCACTTTTAGCGACCATTTTGTCTCTTTCTCTCTCTCTATCTCTATTCTCTATCTATCTCTCACTCATCTATCTCTCTCACTACTCATCTGCTCTACCACCTTCACCACTACTACAAATGTCACTCCACTCACCACTGTTGCCACTCCACCTCTATGACTACCATTACTACCACCATCGCCATCATTCCACTACCACCACTACCACTACTACTACTATTACCTCTCCTCTACCATTGCCACTCCATCATCTCTACCACTACCATAACTTCACCACTAATCTCCTTCGCCATCACCACCACCACCACCATCACCTCTTATCCACCACTTTCGCCACTACTGCCGCTCCCTCTGAAACTTGATTCAAATTTATTTTTTAAAGACTAAAAATTAGTTTCATGAAAAAATTAAAAAAAATCAAAACTACCATTCTCGTCAATTTTATATAATGTTTTGAAGGATATGATCAGCTTGTTCGGTTTAGATTTTCAGTATTTATTTTTCAGGAAATTGGAATTTTTTATTATGTGTGTGTGTTTTTTTTTATTTTTATTTTTTACGTTTTCACTATTTTTTTTAATATTCTAAGCATTTTTTTTAATTTTTAAATACACGACACATAAATACGTTTTAAAAATATAATATTTGTGAAAAAAAAGTATATTTATAAAATTCACTAAATACTATAAATATATATGTGTATATATATATATGAAAATTTAGTACATTTTTCGTATTAAAAATATAATATTTGTGAAAAAAATATTATAAAATTCACTAAATACTATAAATATATATATATATATATATATGAAAATTTAGTACATTTTTCGTATTCTTGTGCATTTATTGATTTTTAAAATTTTTTTGACAAATATTTTACTTTTTAGATACATCTAAGTAAGGTGCATCTAAAAATATAAAAAATAAAAATTACTTAAAATTTTAAAAATTCACTAAAAATAAAAAATATATAAAAAATAAAAACTCAA